GGTCGAGACCTCTGGGGGTCGACGTCATATGCGGGCAAGGTTCGTATCCATATCCAGTGCGTCGTGTTTTTTTTTGGTTGGGGGGAAGGAGCGTCACAAGGCCGAGGCGCACTGGACATGCATAAAAATCGAGCCTCTGGGGGGCAAATTTATCCATATCCAGCGCGCCTCTGGTTCCTGGGGAAGGGAACCCGAAACTCCATCTCGCAGTGGACATGGACAGAAGTATTGCCCGCATCATAGAGCAAGCACGACGGCGGGGGCCTGGGTCTGGGAGCAGCGTGTGGGCCCCAGGGCCGCCATCGCCATACGGCTGGATCCGCTCGACGTTCTGCGCAGAACGCGCCCCTAATGCGGGATGACGATTAATAAAAAAATGGGAGAGAACGATTAAAACATAGTTGTCTGCTATTTCTGCACAACTCTCTGACTGGAGGAGAACGATTTAAAACATAGTTTTCTAGCCCGCGGCCGGTTTTTTCTGATCGTCATCCCGGGCGCCGCCGCGTGAACACGACCCCCGGTGATTGATTAATCGTCATCCTCCATTATCCGGAGGCTGATATCTCTTACTCCCAGAGCCCAGACCCTGAGATCCGACGGTGCAGAAAAGGTGCAGCATCGCAAAGCATCGCGCCCGGACCCCCGGACCCCATCTTTCTGCGTCATGTTTCGGGCCGGATCGATCCGTGCGGCTCCCATGGGGGCCCGAAGTGGAGCGAGAACGCCCGGCTCAAAAAAAGTGACTCGCCAGGATCTCATGGGGACCCCCTCGCGTCGGGAACGCATCGCGACGGGAGTGGCCCTCTCATCGTCCGGGCCCATCGCTGGGCCACGGGATCCTGTCAACAAAGAACTTCGGGATACAACCGAAGGGGCCCAGGGACACACACATGAATATAAACAAATCCCAGGATTCCCAATCTTTTTCCATATTTTCTGAAGTTTCGACTTCCCCCCCACTTCCCAGATTCTCCCACATGTTTTAGAAATCGACAATTACTTGTGTCTGTGTGTTTCTCCCTTCTGAAACACTGGTCCCCGGGAAAGGGGTCGAGACCTCCAAGGGGCCACGCTCTGCGAAAAAGCTGGGAGCCGAGAACGACGCCGACGACGACGGCGACGGCGCCGAGAGCTTCGCCGTCGGGCGATCCCGAAGACGTTCTCGCTGCCGCGGCGGGGCGCTGACTGACCAGGACGGACAGGCGCTCACTGCGGGTGCTCACTGCCACTGCCGACGTCGACTGCCAAGACGCCCCGTTGCGAGCAGTTCTAGATGCCTCCCAACTGCGGATGGGGTCGGAGGATCGCGCCGCATCGTCGATGCATCGCCGATGCATCGGCGACGCCGGCGTCGAGGAAGTCGGGCATCAATCACATCGAGTTGCATCCCCGATGCATCGGCGATGCGGCGCGATCCACCGACCCCACCTGCTCGGAATCCACCTTGGAGGCCCGGAAGAGCGCGCTCTCAACCGCACATCGGCCACACGCAAGAGTGACCCTGAGCAAGAGTTACCTCCGGTGCGCGGCCTTGGGGGGCCGCGTGGGGGCCACATCCGAGCACGCAGGCCACTGAGGATCGAGGTTCCAGGATCGAGAATCGGTGTTCGAGGATCGAGGCTCGAGGCTCCACATCCCAGGATCGAGGCTCGAGGCTCGAGGATCACTGGGGTGGCCCGTGGGCCCGCACCAGAAGGCCACTCCAGCGAGAGGGTCACTCGCCACGCGCAGCCGAGCATAACGGGCCTCGATCCCCCTGAGGCTGACGAGCCCACGGGCGATGACACTCTCGGGGAGGTGCGCCCTCAGAAGAAGGGGGAACATCCCCAAGATCGGCATCGAGATCCGGGGATGCCAATCACGGGGACAGGGATCTGTCCAGGGCTGGTGAGAGCCCAGACATCCTCCGGCAGAGCTTCTGCCATCTGCGGCCCCAGAGGTCCCGACCCCTGACCTGGGGCGCGTTCTGTTGTCCAGGATCCGTTCTGAGGGCCCCCAGGCCCGACAACGGGCCCGGGAGGCCGAAACTCTATCCGGAGGATTGACCAAAACTGATGCCGCAAGGACGACCTTCCTCCGTCGTCGTCCGAGGGGTGACCGGAGAGAGGAGAGGGGCGGGGGGGAAGCAGCGACCTCGAGGAGGAGGGCCGCGGAGGAGGATTGGTCGGGGAGGACCAGGGAGGAGAGGGAATCGGGGGGCCCCCGAAGCTCCTATGGAACATCGCCGGAGTGGAAAACGCACATCCCCAGAGGTCTGGTCGAACGGGCGTCGCAGGGTCTTGGGCGGAGCGCACGGAGGGGGCGGGGGCGGGGAGGGGAGGCTCTCGAAGAGGGCCAGGGGGTGCTTCTCAAAAGCCCTCCTGCCTTCCAAGAGCTCGCCCACGAGATCCCCTGGGCCACTCCTAAGAAGCACCCCCCCGCCTTCTGGGAGCAGAGCGCAGCGCGCGCATCGTGGGCGTCCGAGAGGGGGGCGTCCAAGAGGAGGGTTCGCAGATCATGGCTGGCAGCATGTGCGCGGCCCCGGGGGGGGGGGGGCCAAGGGACGCACTGAAATGAGCAGAGGCGCCATGACATCGGGAGAGACATCATGGCCCCCGCCATGGAATCCCTCCAAACGTAATCCTCGCCCCCCTCCTTGGCCGCCCCCGACGCGCGCGAAACGGGCCCCGAGGGCACGGGCCCTGGACCCCCATGGTGCCTCCCCCTAGGACGAGACCGCCGCCCGGAGCCGCTCTCCGGCAGCCCATGGGGCCTGCGCAGGGCCCCGAGAGGGCCCGAAGACGGGCGACAACCCTCGGGACCCGCCTCTGGGGAAACCAAAGAGGTACTCCAGATTTCGTAATAAAGGGAGGGGGGTCTCATTTCGGGGGGGGGTCGCTTCCAGGCTATCTTGGAGGGCCTGGGGGGGTCTGGGGACGATGTTTTGGAGGGTTCTCCCACGGGGGAGGTCTGAAATGGCTTGTCTTGGAGGGTCCAGACCCCCTCCCTTTTATTACGAAATCTGGAGTACCCACACCGCTGCTCCCCGGACCTCTCCCGGGGTGCCTTCTGACCAGAACTTCGAGGCGAATCCAGCGGTGGCGACGAGGGCCTCCCAGCAGGCCCCACAGAAAGGAGAGAACGAGGAGAGGGGTTAGGGGTACGGGCACCTTTTCCTCCTCTACACAAGCGCGTTCCACTACTCGCAAGGTAACTGCTCGCAAATGGCCTGGATCCGCCGCGGGGGATTCACGATTCGTGGCATCGGAGAAGACACATGTTTTTCGGACGTTTGCGAGTAGGCACTTTGCGAGTAACTAGTGGAACGCGCTCGGTGACCCTTTGAGTTTCCCTCGGGATCCGTTTCTCCCCCATGGCGAGAGGCGAATCCAGCGGTGGCGACGATGGCCTCCCAGGAGCCCCCAAAAAGGGGGAAACGAGGAGAGGGTAGAGGTACGGGTACCTTTTCCTCCTCTGAGTTTCCCTCAGGATCCGTTTCCCCCATGGCGATCATGGATATCTTCTGACCCGGGTCAATCCAGAACCAGGGTCTGTCAAGCCTTGCAAACCCCTGCAAGCTCCTGCACCCAAAACCGGGTCCACGCGCAGGACCCTGCAAGATCCGGCGGGATATCCCGGGCCAGTGCGACCCTGGCCCTGCAGGATCCTGCAAGCTCGGGCGCTCTGGCTGACCCCCGTTTGCCTTGACCCCCGTCTCTTGAGCCCCCATCGGCATCGCATCGGCTCGTGCCGGCCAGGACCGACCTCGGGTCGGATCGGATCGGATCGAGACGGGCCCGGCCCACGAAGAAGCGGGGGAGGAGGAGGAGGAGGAGATGGAGGAGGAGGAGGAGGAGGAGGAGGAGGAGGAGGAGGAGGAGATGGAGGAGATGGAGGAGATGGAGGAGAAGGAGGAGGAGGAGGAGGAGGAGGAGGAGGAGATGGAGGAGAAGGAGGAGGAGGAGGAGGAGGGGAAGGAGGAGGAGGAGGAGGAGATGGAGGAGCCCCGAGGCGAGAGAGGGCGCTCCTCGGGCCGGGGCAGCTGTGCCGCTTGACGTCGCCCGGCGAGGGGCCGGCTGTGCCGCTCGACGTCGCCGGGCTCGATGCGCCGGCCGCCGAGGGTCTCCGGGATCTCCTGGGGGCGCGCGCTGCGGGGTCCTAAGGGGCGCACGCGAGCGAGCAGGCGCGACCCTGAGGTCCGCCGCCTACCACTGTAATACGCAGAGGCCGCGTTCCGGCGCGGGTGCATTCAGCGCGGAATTGTCTTCGCATGTTTTTTTCAATGGCCTGTGAAAGTTGTCCTGTTCTGCCGATGCGCCGTCTAGGCGCGGGCTTTTCCTGTCCTGTCCACGGCTGGATCCGCTCGACGTTCTGAGCAGAACGCACCCCCTGTCCGGAGGCTGATCTCTCACTCCCAGATCCCAGGCCCTGAGATCCGACGTTGCAAAAAAGTGCAACGTCGCAGGAAATCACGCCCGGACCCCCGGACCCCATCTTTCCGTCACTCTTCGAGGTAGATCGATCCGTGAGGGTCCCGGGGCGCGCGCTTCTGGGTCCAAGGGCGCACGCGGGCGAGCAGGCACTTGCGGCCCATGAGCCCAAACATCCCCTGACCCTCCAGGAGGGCTAAAAAAGTAGCACCAGGTCGTCGACGTCTTAGATCTTGTCGAGGTTTGAGGCAGTCCAGCTAGGTCTATAGGTCTGGAGTGCTATTTTTCAGCACGCTGGAAGGTCAGGGATATCGCCCCCCGAGATCTTCACTGGCGCTGCAAATGTTTTTGCCACGGGCGGTTTCGCTCCATTGCGGGCCCCGGGGGCCTCACAGATCGAGCCGCGTCGAAAAATGACGCCTAAGGGTGGGGTCCAGCGCTCTGGGCGTGATTTCCTGCCACGTTGCAATTTTTTGCGTAACGTCGGATCTCAGGGATCGTCCATATGTTGTTCGGGCTTCTCGTCTTCCCCACTCGCTCCCAGACTCTCGCACAGCCCACTCGCCCTCCGGGCCAGAGTGGTCTCGAGCGAGTGCTTCCCAGACATCTGGCCGCTCCAATTACACGCGTGAGAGCCCGGGGTCTGGACCACTTCCCAGGGCCGGCTTCTCATCCCGAGGCGTTTCGTTGACGGTCCCGAGGCCCGGCGAGGACCCCCCGAGGTCGAATACGGCAAAAACTGGCCGCTCCAATTTGTTCGGTCGGAGCGTCGGATCTGTGGGATTCTTTCCTCTTCCAAAAGCCTCCTCCCTTTGGCGAGGGGTGCCCTCCCCCTCCTGCGCGCCGGGGCGGCGCGCATCTTGTTTGGAGGGAAGGAAGAGAGTGGAGCGGACATCAAGATTCGAGTGGGGAATCGACCACAGAATGGATTTGCACCACAATTGCTGTTTCGTCGAATCCACAGAAACATACGTAGAGCATTCGCTAGATCTACGGAGCAGTATACGCATCTTTCGTAGATCTGGCGGAACATCAACGTTGGCAGTAAAGCAATTGGCAATTCTGTAGTCGACCCCATGCTCCCAGACTTTGAAATTCGGGCCCCGAATGCGCCACGCCAGGGCAGGGAGGAGGACTAGGACGAGGACGAGGACGAGGACGAGGACGACCAAGGCCGCGCTAACGGCGATGTTGGTTAACGGAGATGTTGGGAAATTGATGTTTGTGACACCGAGCTCGCGCAAAACAAATTGTAGGAAATCGCGGACCACACATCCCTACATTTCGAATGTGCGATTGTACCGAACGAAGACGACGCAGCGAATTGTAGGAACACACAAGCCACGCGCTCCTACAATTGGCTTGGCCACGAAGCACGCCTTCCTACAATTGGTCTTCCTACGTCGCCGTCAGCCAACACACCGTTAGCGCGTCTACGGGACGAGAACGAGGACGAGGACGACGACGACGACGACGCCGACGGCGCCGACGCCTCCGAGGGGCTGATGTTTTGCCTATTCTTGAATATTCCTCCTGTAGAGGCACGGGCCCGAGTTAAGTCGATGCGTGCGGTGCAACGGAGGCGGCGTGCATGCTCGGGTTGGGCCCCGCAGCGCGCTCCGAAAGCCGCGCACCACAAGGTCACTCCGGCGAAGGGCCACTCTCAAGTGACGTGCAGACGAGAAGACTCACGGCGGAGGCGTGTCTGCAACATGCTAGGCCTCCGAAGTGCTCCAGGAGGCTCGCTGGGCGGCGTGCATCGAGCCTGCGACGAGCTGGTGGACCACGCCGACCTCTGAGGCCCACCTGGCCTGCCAAGAGGCTCGAAACCTGCGAAGGCCATGCGCTCGAGACACACCGCACGTGGGCTCGGCGCTGGACAGACATGGGTCCACGTGTCCACCCAACCCTCGCCAGTGCCAGCCACGTCGCGCGTGCCCAGCCTCCTGGCACTCGGCTCCTGGCGCCAGCGATTATTGTGGCATGCTCGGGACGCCTTGCGGAGCGCAGGCTGCACGGGCGCTGCCGAGGCAGTAACGGGACGTGCACCAAGGCGTGCGGGGGTGTGCACAGACAGCCCCCCAGGGATACTGTAGTCCAAGCTTGCCCCAAGAGGCCCCCCCCCCTGAGGCAGCCCGGGAGCGCCCTCCCGCTCCTCAGTGCTGCGGGGCGGGGATCGCACAGTTAGGAGTGCACAGGGGGTGCTCGGGCCGCCCAGGGGTGGAGTATGGTGAGTATGGTGAGTAAGTGCACGCACGTGCCGCTCTACGTCGGTGGGGGAGGGGCGGGAGACGGGACGAGCGGGAGGAGCAGAGCGGCCTCGGCGACGCAGGAGCTGCCCGGCGGAGGGCCGGGCGTGGCTCTGCCGCTGCCGCCTGGCCACGAACACGCACGGCGGAGCAGCGCCGAGGAGCCTGGGGCCCGCTGCAGAGTGGGCACGCACGGCAGAAGTTGTGTTTCGGATTTCCTTCCATGCTGCCCCGCACAACGGGAGCAGGGGGGACGAGGGAGGGCCCTCTTCGTGGCGAAGGGCAGGGGTACAGGCAGCGTTGGGGACTGCTTCATGGACCAATCACCCCGAATCCCACAAGCGCCTCGCTGTCACGCCACAGCGTGATCCCACCAGAGGGTAGTATGCAGCCCCCCGGATGAGCGCTGAGCAGGGAGCTCCGAAACTCGAAAGCAAGCCCCCCCCTCTCGTTCCAGCGACCCCTGGCCAGGAACAGGGCACACTGAAAGTCTCAAGATAGCCACAGGCGTAAGACACCCCGCTGCAAGAGATCTCAGCCACACTCCTCCTCGTCGACCACTGAGAGTCCTGAAGTGCCCCAGACTTTCTCTGGGTCCCCGGGCCCCTCCGGGGGGATGCGACACTTCCCGCGGGGCACCTGCTGGCAAGCAGGCCCCCTGTTTGATGTGCCTCCCGGAGAAAGCCGGCCGGGACTGCCTGAGGCGGCTGCCCGTGAACAGCCCATAACCTCGCCGACGGGCCCGCATCTTTCAACTCGCTTTTGCTGCCGGGCGCCGCTCGCGGGCCTCGGGGTCAGTCCCGCTCCGGCCAGCACTTCAAAAAACGATCTGGGGGGGG